TGCACTGTATTTACCACCATAAATCGTTTAATCTGTCATCTGAACCATTCTTATTGAGTTTCTACCTTATTACTTCTTGTGCTAACAGGTTGTTTTGTTATTTGGTATATTTTTTGGTCTTTTTCTTTTTTTTTTTTTAACAGAATTCTATTTTAAGGATGCATCCTGTCTCCCCTTAGGGTTCTTTTCTGTGGACTACACAATTTCACTTTTCACCCTTCCTTTGAACACTTTCATAGATTTCTAATTATTCTTACTGCTCTAGTGTAGATGCTCCCCTTGTCTCCAGAGGAGCTGTGATCAAACTGAACACAAAACTGCAGCCAAAGCCACGTGCCAGCTGAACAAAGCAAGAGGAATATTCCACAGCCTCCATGCAATATTCCTGGTTTACACTGCAATATTCCTGGTTTACACTGCAATATAGCTTTCAGCTATTCAGCAATATTATGGCATTTTCAAGTCATGTTAAGCTTGTTTTACACAACATACCCTACAGTGTACTCTAATTAAAAGTCATTTGATCAACACTTTCTTATCTTCTTGATCTGTATTTGTGCACTGGATCATTTTTTAAAGGCAGAGTTTTGTACCTTTTCTTACATTGCATGTTATTTATTCAGATCAATTCTCCAGTAGGACAGCTTTGGAATTTTACTCCTATCCTCAGCTTCACTTGCTATTCCAACCCCACCCAACCCAGGTCACTTGGTCTCTGTAAGTTCTGTCAGCTTATTTTCTGCTCCATTTTCCAGGTCATTAATGACAATATATCCCAGCAAAACGCCTATTCAATACATCTGCAAACTTCTAATCTATTTTTCCTTAATTTAGAAAAATTTCTGTCAGGCCAAATTTCTACAGTTTCTCACAGGAACTAACTATCTGTGAGACAGTACCCACAGCCTTTCTAAAAACATAAGAGTTCTTATATCTTAAGAACAAGATGAAGGTACTACATTTACTGCTTCTCTTCTATCCATACCTCCTATCCTTCTATGGATGCAATTTAGAGCAGATTGAAATACTTTTTCCTTGCAAATCCATTGTCACAGTTACTTCTTTTCCTGGTTTCTTGCAGATGTTCAGTACAATTTCAGTTATTAACTGCCAGCTTCCTTAGGAATTTAAGTTATACTGTCTAGTCTATCATTTCTTAGCTTTTACTTTTTATCTCTTTTATTTCTTAGCTTTTACTTTATCCTTTTCCCTTCTTTAGACTGCAGTCTTATATCTGCATAACTGGTATTCATTTTCTTAGCTCCGTGTCTGGAGTTTTATCATACCAGGGAAGGACTGTAGGAATAAGCATTCTCAGCACTATCTGTCAGTCATCTTCTCTGAATATCAACTCAGTGCTTTCTTAGCCACCTTATTACAAACACAAAATGATTATTTCCTTGAAAACCCTTCCTAACTACTTTGGGATCTCATCTTTCCAATTCTGTCCCCACTATGCCTGTGCTAATTTATATTCAAATAATTCAATTCAATAATCTGATTAAGCAATCATTTGGTTTCAGCTTCCCTTCTGCTTAAGAGCACAGAAACAACAGTTCTTGTAAATTTTGTATACTTTCTTCCATAGAACTGAGGAGAGGCTTGGGTTTAATATATGTATCCATGTGGTATTTCAACCCAAAATATTATTAATTACAGAAGCTGTATTTGTATGATCACTTGATTTTACTTCTGTGTTTTTAATACACACAATGGCCCTGATTGCTAAATCTGTTCCACAGAAACAGACAATGACTTAACTCCAGAAATGGCTAGTGCACCTTTAGATAAAGTTTTACACAAGTGAAACTGCAGAAAATTAAACTGGGTTGTAATATATTATATGTAGAAATATAATTTAGTGAATATAAAGAACCTGCAATTGTCCTGCTAATAACTACTAAAAACAATCAAATTTACAATATACTCTGAGAGGAACCTGAGAGAATGAAAATATAAAAATAGGGAAACTATATTTCCACAGCATAATGAAATTCTCATTATAAAAAGTTCTCTACAATTTTAATGACCTGTGAGTGCATTTTATTTAATTTAAATGTTTAAAGCAGTACTCTATACACATTCTTAATCTAAGAATATTTATGCTATTGATACTGCCTTAGTAAGGACCAGATATGTAAATAGTTTAGCCTAATTGCCTGTTACTGTACAATTTAATTGAGTCTCGTAACAAAGATTATAAAATCATGATAATACATTCCCTTAGAAAAAAATCCAGTTGCTTTTTCACTGTTTCACTGATAAACTTCACATCAAAAGGGACCCTGTGTTTTAAATTATGTGTCAGCTTTTACAGGATATTACAAAAACACAATATATATATATATATATCTGTCCTTGAAGCAAATGTTCTTGCTCAGCTATGAGTCATATTTGCATCTCCTTTAAAGCACAGGCATTTGTTAGATCACTGTTTAGCTACAAGACAAAAAGAGATGTTAAATCATTTCCATCACCATAGTTCACTCCTATGTAACAGTACAGTTAATGCAAACATTTATAATTTTGTCTCAAGGATACAATCCCATGACAATAAAATGGCTTTTTACTGAATATGATATAATCAAAATGTCTACATTTGAAAATTAGATTAAGGGTTCACTCTGAACTCTAAATGTTCACCTACATTTACTGAAAAGAGCTAAACAATACTAAACAGTGAATTTTACCTAGATTTCCCATATCTTCTGTTTTCTCCATTTCGTCATAAATGAACTGTGTAAATATAGGACTTTTTAATTGTATTTATTTCTTCTGTATATTCCTCACCTGAATTCCACGAACTGACCAATTTATGCTCTCTCACTTCCTATGTAGTATAAAGAGAACTTAAATGAATCAACCTTAATACATATAAATCAATTTTACCCTCCCCAATAAAACATTTAAAGTGTTATTTTCATCACTGTAAAGAAAATAAGACTTAATGGCACACTCTTCAATGAAGATAATCCCATGCTGAATGATTTTAAGTCACACAAGACACATCAGAATTTAAAAGATCTTTTGATATAGGTCAAAGGAGATGGGACACCACACAAGTCTGATTCCAAAAACCACAGCAATTGATCTAAGGAAGTCATTTATACCTCATCCTTTTGACAGCAACAAATACTCAGACAACTAAACTGTTGAATAAGAATGTACTATTTTAATAAAATAAGTTGTATTAGAACCACAGTTCAATAAATGCACACTACAGGACAGAGTTCTGTGAGTATCTTTTGTTTGAAACCCAATTTTATCTCACCTCTTTGCACTCTACAAACTCATCATTCCCTCTGCCATTTATTCTAACAGCCTAAGCAACAATTCACACACACTACCCAAGGCAGTATCCTTTACTAGGGGAAAGAAAATATTTAGAAATAATAGATCCAGGAAATGTGAAGTGAAAAAGAACTATATTGTTCCATTGCTGGAAGAGATGCTAATGTCACACCTCAAGTTTTAGATTACCACTTAGTCACGGGAAAATCTAGTACATTCAAACATGTCTATATTTTCTGATGTCTTATTTCTGGAACTACTCCAGTTTTCTAATCCATTGATTAAATAAAGATATCAGGGCCTCTGGTAGGACTCATTTGGGAAACATAAGATCTGCAGCAACACAGATGGTTGCCAGAACCAGTCAACTAACAGTGCTCATGAATTTCAAAGAACAAGAAAGAGCCAGGTAGGCTCACTGCCTGTGCTGAGTTTATATTCTGAGGGTGAAGCACAACTCCACTGAAATGTACTATAAAAATCCTGATGACTTCAGTAAAAACAGGAACAAAAAAATTATTATTTCTTGGGTTAGGAAATTTTATCTGGTCACAAGTCAAAATGAAGAGAGGAGATACCTGTAAGCGTTTAAGATGGAAGTTTTTAACCACTGGATGAAAACCAGGGAAAAGTGGAGATGGACTGGCTGGCAGGTGCCTCAGTAATATTCAGATACCAACAGGTGGGGAGACAGTACAGGGAATTACTTCCTATATATGGTGAGAAGTGGTTCAGAAAGCAACAGCAGGTAGACAGACAGATGGATGGACAGATAGATAATTTCAGGGTTCAGGAGAAAGAAAATGGAGGAAAACAAATATAATTGTATGTTTGTCAGTGGAGAGGTGCACTGCCAATAGAAGAAATGCTCTTGCAAACCAAACAGAAACAAAAATAAATTACCATGGCCATACTCTTGTGGAGACAAGCAAAGATTGAAGCCGATTCCAACTATATCAGCATCAAGTCAAGATTTTTTCCTTCCCAAAACCCACAGTTTAAACTCTGTACTTCTCAAACAGAAATACACCAATGAAACAGGTTCAAGGGCTTATGAAATTTTAGGTATTCAAATGTTTACCTTGATCTGGAAAAATAAACCCCACTGTTATATCGTCAAAAAATGCAACCTCAATAAATAAACCCATTGGAATAAAATAAGTAAACAACTCCTTTCCATAATAAAAAATATTCAATCATTAATTAATTCTGACTTTGCACAACTTCCAGACCGAAACAGTAACACATCTCTGGTATACTCAAGTTCAGAAGCTTTGACCATTAAGAAATCACTGATTTTTTTGTCCTTAGTCTCCCAGATGATGTACCTTTTAGACCCACCTGGAACAGACAGTCTGAAATGCTTGAAAAGTTTGCAAGTACTCAGAACAGATCAGGATTTCTCAAGTTACAAAAGAAACACAACAGAGCAAGAAGCATTTATAGCCAATGCTCTTCCTCTGCAGGGTGATTACATCAGATTCTCAAAAAGTATCTTGCTAGCTTCAACTATTCAGAGTTCCTATAATTCCCTGAAATATTAATTGCAATAAGAACTCATAATGAAAATAAACTTGTTACCTACCTTTCCTATTTACTTCTACTAAGTATGGCTTCTTTTAAACACATTGGACAGGCATCTTTCACCACAGCTCAGTACCAGTTTAAAGTGGATTAGACACTGAGCAACTGGAAAGAACACTATGTACCTTCAGATGTCTCTTGCCCATCTTCTTCTCTGCATCTTTGACTGGATCAGATGAAGAACTTGCAGCAATAATGATTTTCTGCTGCCTGGCTTCCCGAAGAGCTTTCTGGGTGGGACCTTCAAAGTCTTTCTTCCTTGTACAGTCATGGACTACAAATTAAAACCAATAAAAATATCATGAGAATGCTTTTTACTTACTCTTTTGGAAGATCTCTTTACTTAATATTAGGTAGACATGTGAAATTATCAAAGAAATACCATTTTAAATAAAGAGATATTGAGGTTACTGTGCCATCCATATAAAGTATTCCAAGACCACATGTAGCTCTGCTCCACAAATTATTTTGGGTTGATCTGATTTAGCTTACCCAAAGGGTACCCTAGGCTTTGCCCCAAAAATGCAGCAATCTTGCAGTATAGAGAGAGTCACAGTGAAACGGGGGCATTCTTTCATGTCCCACAGAACCAGGAGAAATATCCTGCACATCCTACCCAATATCCATCACCAATGCATTATTCTGATTTACAGCCCACATTTCCTTTCACTTCCCTGCACTGTCTCCCAACCCACCTTTCCAACAAGGAATTATTCATGAATTGGTAACTCAAAGAAATCCTACCCAGGTAACAGCTGTAAATCAAAGAGGTTGAAAGGAGTAGGAGCAGGAGCACAGCCCATGTAGAGTACAATACAATGCATCTGCCATGAGCTGGCAGAAAGGACACTGTTCTCTGACAGTCCTTGTATTGGCAGCTCACACACGTCCAATACAGTCCTTTGTGATCCCTGTATCTTGTTGCAATGCTCTGTTAGATGTACATGGATCTATAAGAAAAAGAAATGTAAAACTGAATTCTAACAGTGTTTGGGCACTGTTACATCCCTCCAGTTCTTGGGAAAAAAAAAATCTCTGCTTGAAAAAACACATTATACAACTAAAATCCAGACTAAAACAAATGTACTTCACACTACCCAATTCTAAATGCTTGCTCTTGTAAATGGTGTTACTAATGCAAACTTGCTGACTGAAAAGGTGGAAAAAAATCCCACTCCCTCCACTCTCGAGGCAAAAAAGGCAGATCAAGCAAACACAAAACCTCCCTGTATACTCAACCTGAGCAAAGCTAGAATTAATGGAAAGAACTGTGCCTGGATTAACAAAACATCTGTATTCTCACTGCTTTAAAAGTTACAGCTGTCACAGATACCCTGAATAATTACGTTCTCTAAGGAACGGTACACAGCAAAATTGGTTTATATATCAAACACTTTCTACTCACTTAGTAACTGCTATCTACTAACATGTTGCTCACAGATCTTTGGTTTGTTGGTGCTTTTGATATACATGTAAACTAAGAGTTATGACAGTTGAAGAGCTTTAAAAGTCAATAACTATTACCAAAACAAAAAAAAAAAAGGAACAACTTCCAAAGATGTGTTGCACTAAGAAGCCAACAGCTCATGTTTACACATTTTCTGTTCTGGTGGTGTTGTACAGGGAATGGGGACAAACAGGCCCAAGCACTTCAACTGGTGCATTTTAAATTTCTTTTTGCATGACCTTCTAACTGCAATTGCATCAGATAAAAGAAAGGAAAAGCACAGTTAACAGTCTCAGCAATGAGTTAATTCAACCATGAGTAAAGAAACTCGAGTTCAACTTTTGAATATAATTGGATAATAAATAAGCAGCTGTTGTTTTTAGGAAATATAAGAAGAGTACTGAGCAAGTAGCAGTTTTATAACATGTTTATAGAACCAGCTGTTACAGCAGCATTCACTTAGGTTTATAAGAAACCCAGAATCAACAATGCTTAATCCCTGCAGGAAAAGGTGGTCTTTTCTCAGAGCACCACTTAACACTGTGTTTTGATCCATAAGTAACGGTGTGAGAGCTCTGTTAATATACACCAATAACCTAAATAAAATATCAGCTCTCTGGTAATTAGATTCCTCTATGTATGATCTTGCTATCATTTCAGGAAGGACCAGATTTAAAACAAAAACAGTTTTAACGCAAATCTTCTTAAAAAAAAAATAAATCTAAAATTACTTTTTAAGAAGTAATCTGAACTCAAAATACAATTTTTCTTTCACAGCTGATTTCTGAGTGACCATAGGAGAGAAAACCAGTCCACAAAAGGACAAAGTCCTCACCAGAACTGTTAACTAGTTCCTCTCCAACTACTACATCTTCTTCATATCAGCTTGAAACAAGCAAGGCAAGAATTAGGAAATAAAACTCAGGTTCCTTTAGGGTTTTTAAAAATTATTACAAGTTTTTCTCTTGAAGGTTTTGTGTACAAAACCAAACAGCAGCCTGACAATGAGACAGCAAAAAGCTCCTAGTAAATAAATTACATACTCTGTATTGTGGATTCTCTCCTACCCTCTTCAGTTGCTTGAAATGCACCAGGCTGAAAGCTCCTACGTCAAATGCCTGAGTAATAAAGTCCAGAATAGTTGACCTAAATTTAACATTAAATATTGTTAATTTTTTTCTACCTAGTTGCCAGACACAAATTTACAGTGCAAACTCATGGTGAATATTAAGAAGCTTCCCTTTGTTCTTTATTGTGCACTATACGACTCACTCAAAAAAAGCAATTCTAAGCAAAAAAACAAACCCACAGTCACAGAATGGTTTGCATTGGAAGGGACCTTAAAGCCCATCCCATTGCAATCCCCTGCCATGGGCAGGGACACCTTCCACTAGCCCAGGTTTCTCAAAGACCCATCCAACCTGCCCTTGAACACTTCCAGGGATGGGGCAGCCACAGCTTCTCTGGGCAACCTGTGCCAGGACCTCACCACCCTCACAGTAAAGAATTTCTTCCTAACAGCTAATTTAAACCTACTCTCTCTCAGTTTGAAGCCATTCCCCCTTGTCCTGTCACTACACACCCTTGTTAAAAGTCTTTCTCCAGCTTTCTTGGACTGGATGTGCAGAACCTCCCAGTTCAGCAAACCTAAAACCAACCAAAAGCCACTCTCAGTGCCCTTGAGCCAAAGGCAGCATTCCTGGTGTTCCGCAGGCACGTCAGGCTGCGGGACAGAGGCAGCAGCAGGAGCAGTGAAGGGCAATCCCTGCTGCTGGGCAGAGCCACCCTCTGTCCTTCAGGCCCCTCACCTTAGCCAAGGATCACTTGGCACTCTGAGCAGGCACTGTCTCCTAACCAGAACACACAGGTGCACAAGAGTCAGCCCAGAAGAGACAGCAACGAACAAATGCAGCTGAGGGTCAGCTTACAGCACAGATTTGCAGCTGCAACAGCACCAGTTCCTGCCAAACTAACAAATTTAGAGCAAAGTGAAGCCAACATTTCTCCAGTATCCAGGCACTGCTTGTTTCTCAAGGCTGCATTTATACTGTCTGAGGAATAGAAAAAAAATCAAGAGGCAACAGAGCACGATCATCTTTCAAGAGGCAGCAGAAAGTATTTGGATAAGAGACAATATCACCCACTGAGACACGAGTATGACCTACAGAGTGCAATAAAAATTATGTACTATTAGAGGACAAAACACTGAAAAGAAATGAATTGAAATACTGATTAATTTATGATACCCAAGATATGAAGCAAATTAAGATCTGTACAAGCATGCGGGTGGCTGATGAGCTTAATTTATGTTGGAGACTGAGTGACAAGGGGCTTTTCATACAATTATTTATCAAGTGGCTCCCCTGCTTGTCACTTTTTGGTGTTATAAAGTGCTCTTAAGATTTCTGGAGAATAAACAAGAGTGAACAGCCAGAGAGTAGTTTTTAGAATCACTCACACAACAAATAAAAGTATGTTTAGTACAAAAAGGAGACAGATGGGGCATCCACACTGTAAGACACGAGCATGGGAAAGAACCCACACTATATATCCTCAAGTCAGAGTCTATTTTAATAGTCAAGGAAATGCTTGTTAAGCCTCTTCTCTCAACCACAAACAGAAAAACACAAAAAGAAACCAAACATGTTTATGTGGCTACTATTCTTTTTCTCAGCTTTGTCTTTTCTAGAAGAACTTTACACAAAAAGAAGTTACCTCCATGAACATGGGAACTAATGAAACAAACTACAAAACAAACAGATATTTAAATTGGCCCAATTGGAACAAATGCTTCACCTGGAAGTTGTATAATAATTTTAGGGTTCTCTCATTTCAAATAAACAGCAATCTCTGATGGGAGTCCTGCTCCTGACTACAGCAGGCAAATAAAGACTTTGTTGTCAGAGGATGGAGCTCACCATTTACCCTTTTCATAATCTCATTTATTTTCAGGAGAATTTAAGAAATCTTTTTTTTTTTTGAGACTTATCTTACTAGCAAATGTAGCTGCAATGGGAAAATAGGTTCCAAATTATTGGTGGGAGTGATGCTCTCAAAGAATGTGATAGCATGACCTTCATTTACTTAGGAAAACAGAGGTGTTAAGGTTTCTCTGATGGAGTTAGAAAAAGTAATGTAATATTTACACAGGGAAGCAGTGCAGTAACATACAGATAAAGATATTATTCCAGTAGGTATTATATCACCTTAGCAACCTTCTGTAAAAATGAGACATGCTAAAATAAGAGGCTGGATTTCATAACACCAGCATTTTCAAAATGCTGCCAGACGCCCATATGCACCATCTTAAGAGAGAGATAAGAAACAACATACACCCCCCAAAAAAAGGGATAATAGTGGATGCAATAACAAAACCAGACACAAAATTGCTTCCTAGGGCAAAGTCCTTTCCAAGTTACAAACTCCATATTGCCTTCAGCAGTCTCACTCTCCTCAGTGAAGACATTTCAGAATAAAACACTGAAATGACAAAGCTGCTGCTCCGACACCCGGTCAGCTGATAAAACGTTTACAATGCAAGTATTTTTGATTTACTGTTACACCAGATTTTGAAATGCAGTACAACAACACAAAACCCATGACCAGTCTGAGCCTGATGATGGGAATATTTTACCTTTTGCCTCGGAAATCTGCTTAACACCTCCGGAGTCTAAATTTTCTAACACAGCCTGCAAACCTGTAACCTAATTTTAAAAAGAGAAAGAACAAGAGAAGGGAGTGTGAAAACATTGCTTTTGAGGAATCTGTTCACAACACACACCATTTATGCCTGTGTAGTTAATAAATTTCATCTATCACTTTTTACTTTAGATTATTGTCTCTAAGTTATGAAAATTACTCCTAATTCAAGATTCTGGAAAGACCCAGGAAAACAATGCTGTAAAATACAACCACCCAGAATCTCTCACTTTTACAGCTCTACTAAAACAAAGCAGTCATACAGAATACCAGGGCTCTGACTGCACCAGCAACTTTTAGCCACTGCTGTTGCTGCACTGATCCCTAATTTAATGGCACACTATGACCTACAGCTTTGTCATAACAAAATGTCACAAAATATGGTGTTACGTGTTACAACCAGTCACCGCTCTGGAATGAGCACAGTTCATGTCTGCAAAAGTCTTATATATGCCCCTGAAATTTCATAGCATTGGAACTTTCAATGTTTTGTACTCCTGATTCAGCATAACTCTGTATGGACAGTAAACTTCCGTTTTCTATAGGGCATTTGCTTTTATTTATTGAAATTTCAAACATATAATTCTCAGTGTTTTAAAAGTAAGCCCTCAGGTGACCTGAGAAAAATTGGAGGCAGAGGAAAGGAGGAAATGAGAGATGAAGACTATCAGAAGAAAGTCCAAGCATGGTAAATTCCTTTTACGTTACCCACATATGGTACTGCTGAAGTGCATTTGCTTAGGGTATGTTTGGTTTTATTCCCCCCCTTCTTTTCTTGCACAAACAACATATTAGTTAAACACATGCAAGATAATTTTCTGTTTTTCATCTATCCTATCTGTGCTTATACTACTTCCTGCCTAAGGGGCAGAATATCTCAAATACCAACCTATATATCAGATAAGATTATAGGAATAAAATACTACTCTATTATTCCACTCCAGACAGAAAAACTGTCTCTGATCTCCTAATGTATTTTTTTTCTAAACCAGTAGGTCATTCTGGGATATATTTTGGAAAAAATAAAATGATAAACAGTAATAAAGAAAGTTTAAATAAGCTATTTGCAAAGGCATAGATGGCAGCCTGTGAACCTGTGTGACTATCACACCCTTCCTTAAGCTTCCACACGAAAAGTGTAACAGGGTCTGCACGTGGCTGACTCAGGGAGAGCAGCACTGAGCAAGTACAGACTGAGAACAATTCCTCTGGGGCACTAAAGTTTCACATACATTCAATGGTAACATTTCACCAAATACCATGAAACCCACAAAATATTCTGCTTCAAACTACTCCACAAGTGGATTGTTTTATCAGAAATATCCTATTTGCCCAGTAAAAAGCAAAAGCATTCCTTACAGCCCTGTGAGTGGTGTTCACCAGAGTTTTACCTGCCCCACTGCTTTGTCTCTCTCCAAACTAGTTAACATCTTCTGCTTCAGCATAGTCTCATATTTTTCAGACAGCTGCTTCAGCACTGGCTCATAGGATGCATAATGTGCCTTCAGCCTGAGGACAAGAGGAGGAAAAAATTATTTCTCACAGATGAGTGAAATCAGAGATTTGTGTCTGCATAACTTCTCCCCTCCCCAAATCAAAGAGCAGAGGTTCCAAAAGGTCGACACAGAGGAGACAGCAAAGCTACTGAGTGTGTAACCACCCAACTGCAAGATCACAAGAGGAAAAAAAAAACAGCAAAAAACCTCAGATCGATAAGAGGGTTCACAGTTTGTTTGGTTGTATCTTAAAACAACCCATCTAATTTTGACCTATTCTTAATCCTTCATACACAAACTGCACAATAATGTCTGCTAATTTGTTTTCTTGCAGATGGATGGTATTTCTTTGGAAGAAAGAGAATACAGCTGTTATCTGATTACCAAATAAGATCCTCATCTAGACAAAACAGACTAGGATCAGTATTTCTTTCTTCACTGCATATTACACTGAGAATACTTAACTACTTTAATTCCTCACACCAGAAGACTCAGATATAGAATCTCTCAAGAGAAACACGTGACACAGCTCCAAAACCACTGCATTCTGCAAGAAGCTGAATCACAGAGGACAAATCAGTGCTCTCTTGCATTAGCATGTTGGCATTTCGAGGTTGAACATGCAGAACACACAGCTGCCATTACATGCACTGACTGACAACAGTACCAACAAAACTGTGTGAATTAATTGGAGCTGAAGATGTAAGCCACTCCTCAGCGTTATTTTAAAACAAGTGCTGGCATAAACACGTGCAAAGAAGAGATTCTAAACTCAGCTCATTTTTAAAAATGAAATTACTATAACTCAGTACCAATGGACTGGTTTGGATTTCTTTGCAACAAAAGCAAGATAGCAAGTTTCATACTGGAAGTTCAAGATAACAGAAAATGCCAATTATGGGAATCATGAATACAAAGGTTCTGAATTCTGTGTGATACCAGTTATCCTTAAAATGGGCAAAGGTTCCAAAAAAAAAAAAATAAAAAAAAAAATTACATATTCACGGCAAAAGATCTCGGTAAAAGAAAATCTCATTTATATTTCCAACTATTAAAAATGCTATGTATTTATTAATGCCACATCACAACATAGAAAATACACCAAAAAATAATTCTAAATTCTTTGAGCAACGTGGTAGAATAGTCAGATGAAACTGCTATTTACCAGGACATTAACTAAATGCACTTCAAATTCCACAGTGTTATCTCACTGCCAGGCAATAATTCAAGACGTTATCTTTAATGCTACATGTGTAGCAATTAAAATTATTTTTTACCTTTTCATATCACAAATCAGCCTGTTTTTCTCCTGGACCACTCGCCTGTGGTGCATTCGATGGAAGTCTCGTTCTTTCTGCATTTTTAGGAGAGCCTCTTTTGTTTTACTAGGTGTAAAAACAGAATATGCAAGAGAAGTCCTATTAATTACATCAAGCTATGTTGAATATAGGATTATTTGTCAGATATGCACGTCTACTGTATCCAAGTTGGAAGTTTTTGCTAGTATACCCTGTGGTGGAGAACATGTACTTCTGAGGTATTCTTGCTGCCAGCTGAGGTACAAAGCCATGGGAGCTCTTCCCCTTCCCTCAGATCCTTTAGATAGAATCCATTAGGATTCTGGCATTATAAATCTCAGAGCTGAGGTCAACTTTAAGCACAAGGAGTTTCATGAAGGTATATATTCAAGTTACAGGCGATAAGAAAACAATACTCTTGTTTCAAATTCTACATGAAAGTGTATTGATAATACTGATAATATACTGAAAATACTGATTTCTTAATGTCTGCATCACATCTGGAGCCCAACATTGGTACATGCTGAAAGGACACATACAGAAGGGTAACTTGCAAATACATTTGGAGAGTCTTCTGGAAAAAGTTGGGCTAGAAAAGTTTTAGGTTCTCTTCAGTCATGTTTGTAACCTGTACCCAAGTGTTCCCTGGGTAGGTCAGAGGGAAGCAAAAAGAAACCATTTCAAAATTAATTGTAAACATACTGATAACCTGTTATTCTCTAAGCACATTCTACACACAGCCATGGGACACCCTGAGATGCTCCACTCCATAAACATAAAAGAAAATACTCTCTCTATATATACAGTACATTTTCTCCTTGCCTTCACTGATATGGGTTTGGCAGGAAAGATTAGTAGATGAATTGTTTAATTGCAAAGGAAGCTTGAAATTACTTTGCACAGAAATTAGATATTTGCTTCTTGCAAAAATAAAGCTCATTTCCTCTGCAACAGTTGAAGAATTAGCAAAACCACTATGCCAGGGGAGTATGCCAAAATCACAGGCCAGGAAGAACGTCCATAACTGCCAGTGCATTATATTTAATTGTACAAGTAATTTATATTTGCTGTATATACATTTGCTATATTTATTACCTATACAAACTACCATCTTTATATGTGCACATTTACAAGAGAATTGCTGCTTGTAGCAGAGACCTGAAGAGCAGAGTGAAGCACAGAAGCTCAAAGGAGCCATGGGCACACACATCACGTCGTGTGTGCACCGGCACAAACACCAGGAATTGTGAAACAGAGGAACTCAGGATATTGGTATGGGACACAAGGCACAAATTAATGATTCTGCTCCAGCTTCTACAAGCAGCAAAACATTTGAGAGGTAAATGAATCAGTGGTCTCAGGACAGTTCTGTGAAACAGCTCCATCACAACACCATGCTCAAAACCTGACTTGCCATAAAGACCTTGAATACAAAACCTGCCCCTTCAGAGCTCACAGGTGGCTTGTTCCAAGAGTAAAAGATGCTGCACCAGCCATAGCAAATACAATATCCATTTCTTTTAGTTAAGATATATGTCAAAGCCTGCAGCTCTCTCCATCTAAACTTCTCTCCAGCAAGTACTTCCATAAAAACAGCAGAAGAGGACAGGGCCCAATAAATCCAAGCAGGTTTTCCAAGGCAAGTTACATGCCCTGCTCCAAAGATGCTGCAAGTTGTAGCTCTACAATTCTAATTGAAATAAAGATAGTTTTAGAAAACAAACCCCCATGCTTTTACTCTTTCTAGGTTACATGACACTTGGTAGCAAACATGCTGAATGCACCACAAAATGAAACAGATGCATTTAAATACGGTGCTCAACACAAAAAGTGTGCACTTTGTTTTTTCCATTGTGTAAGCGGAGAAATATGTGCAGGAATAGTTAGATTTTGGCATAGAAATAGGAGATCAGCTGAGGATTTTATTGCTGGTCTTGGCACTAACTCTAATAATAAATATGACTTCCAGGACTGCTTTATATTTTGACCATTACTTTGGCTATAAGCTGGGTATATATTTGTGAGTGTACTCCCAAAAATCAGAACAGAAAGGTACCTGTGAATGTTTATGCTTCCTGTCTGATGTTGTGAGCTCCTCAGGCAAAAGCTGTACACAGTTTTCATTCCATCTACCTAATAAGTCCCTAAACATTTAAAGAGCTTACAAATATCACACAGTCCCTGTGATTAACACAATTAACATGATACAACATTTGTCTAACTACATGTCTAAATAAGGCAATACACAGTCTGGCCACAGGAAAACAAAAACACATGCTATTCAAACTATTTTAAATCATCAAAAACAGACTAATACTGCTATGAAATTGCAATCTACTGTCAAAAAATATTACTAGAACATTAAAGAACAAGACATCACTGAAGACAATGAATTAGAATTAACTAGTCTAGTATAACAGTTAACCATTTTCAGAGTAATTTTCAAATTTTTCTGGCATATTGGAAAGAATACCTATGCTTCCACTGGGGAAATACTGCAGCAGATAACACCCCTTACCAATCAACCAGGGCTCAACTGTAGCCTTCAGGATAAAAGAAAGGGAACACACCTAAGGTACTTTAAACTAGTGTCACACAGCAAACCAAAGTAAAATTAGTTTTGCTTCCTTTCACCAAACAATGGTCACTTTTAGAAATAATTTAAATAAAAACATACAGTTTACCCAAACCTTAAGGTAATAACTAGAGGTAGCTATGCAGTAAAAGAGTTATGCTCATATTTATTTCTTTTAATGTATGCAGAGACATCTTAAGATGCCTTCAGGCATCAAACAAGCTATAAAACATACACACTGTATACAGGAAGTGAAGCTAATTCTCTCTTTAAATAATGAAATACCACAGTGAAATGTAACCAGCCTGCAATCTACTCTATCTGCCCACCTGCTTGCATGCAATCATGTAAATACTGTATTAAAATACCCAAAATACAATTACAGTTAGCTTCTAGACACTAAATCTCTTCCATCAATTACCAAACAACATTAAAGCAGGAGGTAATTGGTTTACAGTCATTTATCCTGGGCCCCCATACTGCCTAAGTCCCAAATAACATCTCTTTTCTGCAAGATGGTTGTCAAGAGTACCAAGCTCAGAAACATCAAATGTAATTAAAAGCTTCACAGCACTGTAGCTCTCAATCAATGTTTTCTGACTAATCCACAGAGGAAAATACGGTACTTTCTTTGCTCACAAATCCTTGGTTTCTACCCAGTCAAATCAGCAATTCCTTAGTGCTCTTAAGCATTCTGTTTTCTGTGTAATTCTCTGTCAAAGAGAGAAACTCAAAATGTCCTCCAGGTAATTTTGGCTCTTGCTGAAATATTATCTTTACCACAGCAAAGGTACTGACTCAAGTTATTGAATGTATGAACAAGAAAAAAAATGCTGTTAACAGTCACTACACTAAATGGATTTAGTACAGAGTACGATGAGCTGGGTTTATCCAAAAGACATAATGGAACATTGTGACTCATGGTATGTACAGCAAAAATGCTCCATTTCATACATTTCAACAACAGTGCAACACTACTTTACTTACACTACTTACTGGTTTAATTCATATATGATTCAAAACAGCTGAAGTGAAATGAACGTCACAAGTGCTGAACTTTTAAAATTAGTATCAGTGAGAACTTTGTAAGTTATTCAAAATTAAAAGGGTGAAAAGTGATGTAGTGACCATAAGCATAAACCAAGTTTCACACCTATATATACTCCATTCTAATTTTAGCCAATAATCTGTGAAAATAAAGCTCTTCCTCTGAGGGGAGAAAGGAGCACTAGTTTTAGTACTCTTTGAACAAGGTACATGCAGAATAAGTGCACTGTGTAACAGCAAATGCCAAGGAAGGAAACTTCTAATTTGTGTCATACAGAACTGGCCTGTATCTCAGTGTCCTCTCTGGAATAACAAGCCAGGGCCATGACCTATTTGTTTGCAACCAGAGCATTGCTACTTTAGGTTTCATCAAACACTACAATGTGAAAAAACAGAGCACAGTTTCATTTCATGGACTGAACCTGAGTGTTGGGACTTTTATTTCACAGACAGGCTGTAGGAACCCAACACATGGGCCATGTCCTTTCTCTCTCCTGCTTTCTTCCCGCTGCACCTTATCATGTCATCTTCCAACCTTTTAGGTACACACCTGCTATAAAAGGTTTTCTGGCACCCCATGGAGTACAGAGATATTCTTATGGGAGAAAAACAGCTCGTTCAGACCACAGTGAAATGTTTTTGAGCTGTATGTTCTTAAAAAATCGTGTAGGAATGCAACAAACTCAAAAAAACTTAAGTCATAATCCACTCAGATTATCTTGTTACAGCATGTTCTGCTTCATACAGGGGGCAGGGAGGGGGAATAAGAAAGCAAAAAAGGTGGGAAAAAAAGACAATAAAACTTGTTGAAATTACTGCTTCTTTTACCATGCATTACTGCTTCTTTTACCATGCATTACTGCTTCTTTTACCATGCATTACTGCTTCTTTTACCATGCATTACTGCTTCTTTTACCATGCATTACTGCTTCTTTTACCATGCATTACTGCTTCTTTTACCATGCATTACTGCTTCTTACTCTCCCCCTCTCATATGAGACACAATCCTTAAATACCCATTGTCCAAATAAACTGCAGATAAAAGTAATAAACGTTTTCTATATGGTCTGCCTCCCAGTGCAACTACACAATATCTATCTGCTGTTTACTTAACTATTTGACTGTGGCCAATTAATTTATTCACTCAAAATGTAATAAATCATTATAATCAGAAAATAATTTAATTATCATTATCAGCAGCAATGATTATTTAAGAACTGAATAGTTATTTTCATATAAAAGAACAATCTAGATGAAAATTAACAGCTTGAGCAATCTTGAGGAAAACCAAAAAGAGTTATTTTTTTACAGTTCCATATTTTAAAACTGGCAAAAGTGAAATGAGTGCATCATTAGGTCTGAGGGTACATTCATGTGCAGATGAACCATTCTCCAGAAAAGGCCAAGTGACATGGAGTTCATTATCACATCTCTCCATTCCATAGGCTAAATATTTTAAGTCTCATGACTGAAGTACAGCTGACTCATAAAATCAACTACTACAATGTACCCACGAGTGTAATGAATGATGGTAATTTACACTGATACCCCCTTACCACTAGGGCCAGTGACAGATTTTCTGCAATTAAAAGAAGTGTTCAGTGATTTTTTTTTCCTCTGCTGAAGGTTTGTGGTAGCTGTAATTTATAGTACTGTAATACAAAACACACAGAATTTATTTTTTACTTCTACCTATTAGACACTCACCATTCTCCGTAGCAATTTGTTGTGATTACTGGATATTAAAATGTATTTTTGGCCCAGTAAATACAAACAAAAGAATAGAGATTTACATTTCTAACAGAACTCAGAGAAACCTGAACTTCAATTATAAATGTCACCCAGAAGTAAAAATATGTGCAGCCAGCATAACAAACAGGCACTTATTATTTTTTACTAAGTACTTGGGTTTACTTTATCTAGACATTTACTACCATACAGAAAAGCTTCAATACGACCATATAACATACTTGGCAGCAAGTTTGTAGTTTTCCAAATCTTTCTTCAAACTCATATTCTCAGCCTGCAGGTGCTGGTTGTGGGTGTACACAGTTGGAACCAACCCAGCATCTTTGACTGTGAGCACACCCCTCTCTATGAGTTCATACCTAGGAGAAAAGAAACAGATATATTATTCCACATTTCCATTTTCTCACTTCACTGATGTCTGCCTTCTCAAGCTACCATTTACCTACAGTAGAATCACAAGGATATTTATCACCTCAAGGCATTTACCTTCTATGATCATTAACAATTCACAACAGTATTATCCCACCACATTGTTCTATTTTACTGCTTTTCATTCTAAAATGTGTATTGTTCATAATAGTCATAACAGATAACACAGTACTTAAAATTAAACAATTCTTCCCTTCCTTTCTTTTAAATAGCTTAAATAAAAGACAGAAACAAATGTTCTTATTCAAATAACATTTGTCCTTTTTATCTCATATGCTTAAATATACGCAAAATTATTTTGTTAAGGACTCAAATAAGCCACAGATAGCTCAGAATCCGTGATCCTCATTATCTTGAACCTGGAAAACAGAGCTCATCTAGGGAAATTTCTTCAGTCCTTCCTGTTTACTTATTTTCCATCTCCTTGTTTAATTATATTTACCAATATTTACCTATTTTACCAGCCCCTGAGAAAACACGATTCCGTGACACAGAAGCCTGAAGGCTGCTTCAGTTAAATACTTGTACAGACTAACTTGGATTTTGAGAAGTAAGAGAGAATCTGAAGCAGCCTGTAATGCTGGGTAACAACACAGGAATCTCAGCAGCCCCAGCAATAAAATCCACTCCCTGAGTGTCATATTATAGGACCATCCATCTTGTGGCAGTATGTCAGCAAAAGCTAAGGACACAGGACAGACAGAGTGAGACCCCAGCCATGACATCAGTTCATAACGGATTAAATGGAGTTATAACTAACTTAAATCAGACAAAAACTATAACCCCACAAGCACCTTCCCTGCTGGGAAGATGTTCCCACTTACTAGAAGGATCAATATGAACATTATTTGCCTTCTCAGGTGAAAAATACATTCAATCTGTGCATTACTTGGTTTCCAAGTGATAAGGAAGTATGAAAAGAACAGCAGTAAATAGCAATACAAAGTATATTAAATGCTATCTCCCACACCTGGGCAATAGCAGCTGATCTGAAACCCGAAGCCAGTAAGCACAGCATTCCTTGATCATAATCCTGTGGCACAAACAAAAAGCATTTCTAGAACAAGGAAGTCTTACTTGAAAAGCAACATTTACTTAACATCCCACAAAAAACTTACTTGTAACATGAGTAATTCTGTCCAAATGACTTCCTACAGTCATCTACTTATCTGCATTCTGTGGATAGTCCTAGGAATGCTCATCCCTATGAATTAAGCTGTCACATTCACCACCACTAGATGAAAGGTTTTTGAAAAATTAAACGGAACATGTCCAAAGCAAAATTCATTCTATCATCACTTCATTTTCTTAAGTAAATTACAGTAGGAACAGGCCTTAATACCAAGAAAGCAGCTTAGCTGTTTGTTTTTTTCAAATAAACATTGACTGATGCACAGGTACAATTCCTACCAGAAATACTGCACATAAGGGCACCTCTGAGGGCAGAAAATAACAACTCTAAATGCTCCTTAGCTTGCCACTGAATGCCTTAACTACACTTTATGAAAACCATCAAATTTCTGCCTGAAGACTCAAACATGGATAATTGATGAACTTTGACTCCAGCAGAGCTAAGAACCCTGAAAGACAATTTCCACGAAACACAATTAATAGCAATAAACTCACTACGCCCTTGTCTAAGAACACTACTAAAAATGAATGCTTTGTGCACGTAGCAGAAATGGAAAACCACACAACAAACTGCACTGTGAAATCTCATTATCTTTAATCAACCTAGTCCTGTAAAACTTACAGGCCTCCTACATACCGAGCCAGCTGCCAAAGAGCTCTTGTTCTCACTTCTTCCCATTACACGTGGAAATTAAATTAGTTCTCTGCACACACAGGTATTTTACTCAGCTTCTCAGAACTACTGAGTTATTATTCTTGAATTGCTATTTAGAATTAACAAATAATCTGGAAACTAAAGAACAGATGGTTACCTATGATTTTGTGATCAAAGCCTAGTGCAGACTGACTAAAAATATGTTATTACTATAAACATTACATTATAACTCCCAGAAACTTGAATTCAAAGTAATCTTGTAGCAGAGAGGCCCTGGGATAAACTAACTGATACCTAACTCAGAATATCCCTTTACCAAGGGATAGCTCACCTAGAGATGCTTTCAGGGATTAAAATCTCAACTTTTAGCTTTTACAAGAACTTCTCACTTAAAATTATAATCCAAAGAGATGACAAAACTACAGTTTCAACAGATGGCTAACATATGAGCACAGTAAAAATAAAGCATTTATTTAATGGAAAATTAGATATTAAAAAATTAATTTAAGTTTAAAGTTCATTAAAGTATAACTGGAAGAAAAAAGTTCATGTGCAAAACAACTTATATAAGTCAAAAAAACCCAATCACTACAAGTGTGATAAAAGTATTCATTACTTCATAGAAAAAAGTGGGTTTGGTTTAAAATGAAACATTATCAAATCACATTTTATACAGCTGGATAGAATAACAGAATGTTTTCCCAAACTCTGAAATAAACACAGATAATTTAGTCCAATTTAAGTGACCTTTAGATCTCAGACAGACAATAATTTCAAAGCAAGCCTTTTGATAAATTTTCTCTACAGTAATTAATTTCTCATTTTAAATTCCATTAGTACTTGATCACCACAGCATGAGAGCAAGACTGTCGTCCCAATACATAATGAGGAACCCAAGTACACTAATCTGCTCTCACTTTCATTAATATTGTAAATTATCTATTTCAAACCAACATGAAACATTTTGAAATAAGGTATTAATGCAGAAAGGCTCAATACAGCAAGATTAGATACCGACATGCTGAGCTCATTTGTAAAACTACTGAAATTAAAAATATTACTTATAGAGAAAAAATATATGTATGGCTAAGGATTTACAAGATAGGGCCTGCTAAGACCTGCACTTACTCTGTTAAAAAGCAATTTGAATTTTGCCATTGATATAAATTCAGACTAAGTGCTTCGAAGAAAGTCATAGCTTCATAAAAAGGTCACTATTTATATCTGTCTAGTATTAATTATCTTTTAGCATAAAAACTGTTAAACTTTAAACTTAATGCTATTCATCTAAGCTCCTTTGTTGAAAAAGAATACAGAACTATAGTGCTCCTTCTCCAAGGAATCATTGAAGCCCATTGTTATGCTATCAAAAAGCTGATCATCATTAATTCCAAAGGCAATGCCTGACTGGTGAGCTCTACACAAGTAAGACCACAGCCTTGCAAATGACAGCAATGATTCCCCCAACACAGAACATTTCTAAGAAAATTTAAAAGCTTCAGGGGTTTTGTAGGAAAAAATAAGATGTTTCTAACTTTTGCTAATTTTCAAATTATACAGTTTCAAAAGACCTTATTAAAAAAAAAAAAATCTCTGAACTGCTCATGTTTAAAGACTGACTACAAAGTAATTCAAAGAGAGGTATTTCCACATTTCAGAATTTGTCCAAGGTAACCTGCAGATTCAAAGCAACCTTGTAACTGAGAGTATTTCAACAGAACTTTGGCAAGTGTCATCTTTTGCTCCTAAAAAATTCAGCTCCCCTCGCAAGCTTTGCAGCATTCCTTGCACATTATTTTTAATCAATATTAAAAATATACATCCTGTGGGAATCCGTATATGAAGAGAGTGAAGAGTGGTGTACTTAGACAAACCTGCACGTTTAAGCTTTGCACAAAGTATGACAAAATTTCTGAAATCTATACAAGCTTGGAAAAAGAAGACAGCAACAGCTCAAGAGTTTACTCTCCTGATTAGTGTATGAATTAAAAAGAAAAAAGAAACTAACACAACCCTATTATATTGACTGATGTACCAAAAATGACCAAGCATCAAATATTTTGATTATACTACTTAAAATAGAAGGTAGCTATGATAAATGCACAAACCCACTCAACTAAGATGCAAATACTCCAGCATACTACAAACTATTCATCCTTAAGCAGACACTCATGTTCTGGAAAGCAAGAAAAATAACAAACCATGTGATTTCTTGGCAGTGCTGAAGCGAAATACCAGTCCTTTTGCACTGGACTTGTTTGATCCCGTGGTAATTTCTGCACTGTGTCTGCTTTTAGTTTTTGTTGGTAGACAGTGGAGAGCATAACATACTCGAAAAGATAGAATTGACTTTGTTTTGTCTTAAAGGAGATGGCTCAGAAGGAACTCAGATGAGTTGTATCCTGAAAAGGAGTACTTTTCTTCCCTGTTCACAAAAGGCCTCAGGTGACAACTTCAGGTTTCTAAGTATCTGGATTTTGGTGAAATGCATACATTCCTTCAAAGATACCTGTTTAGGAGCTCCCTGGAGTCAGCTTTCCTCAAAGTCTGTCCTTAAAACAGGAGTTTGCATCCTCGTTCTCACTATGAATATATTTACTTGTTAAAACACTACATATTTAAGATGGACTCAGGAGAGTTTTCTGAAAATATATCCTGAAATACTGAAAACATTTGAATCCTGAGCATCTAATTCCCAAAATAGCATGGTCACTTAAATTATTTTACCATTCAGTTTGGAAGCAGTCAAGGGTTCTGGACATTCCCAATCTGACCAAGAAATTGCAGAAGAAATCATCCATTGCTTCAGGTACTTCACACACTGATTTCTCCGAAGTCAGAACTGATTGTGAAGTCTGAAATTAAATTTTGAAAACTGTTATTAAACTTACAGGAGAAAAGTCACGATCATAATTTCTATTTCTGAAGTCAACTAAAGTTACAGATCTACTGGAGTACAGCTAAATGTTTCCCTTGTCTTTATGGATCAGATGTGTAATCATTGATCCTTCCAATGTCAAGGTTTGTGAAAGGTTAGAAAGAAAACTCAAAACCCACCTTGTTTAAGCAAGTATTCTGAACCTGACACGATGTGGTAGAGACTTGAAAGTATTATTACTGATGGATGATCTGTCACTCACCAGAGACAAAATGTTAGTTCTCATACTCCTGCACCCTTCAATAACCTCCACAACTACAGATGAAAAAAATCAGTACTCATCTAACAGAAAATTGAGAAGTCCAAAGTGACAGTAAAAAGGCTTATACTCTTTCTGTAATGATGCAAGCAATGGAGAGACAGAAAAAAACTGCATCTCCATCACTAGATCTCTTAGCAATAAGTCTCAAAGATCAACTCTCTTCTCTCAACATCCCTATGAACACTGAAGAAGCTGCCAGACAACACTGCTACAAGTGTTAGCAGAACGCAGATGGTGCTCCAAGGCTTCACGTGCAGCTCTCCAGCGCCATCAAGACAGACAGCCCTGCAGATAAGGTCAGCTCCTGGGTCAGGCACAGTTGCCAAAAGCAGAATCAAAACAAAACAGAGCAATCCTACTACAGAGAGAAAAAACCCTATCCCTTCTACAGCTTTCTGTGGCAATCTCTTCCCTTCACCCAACTCCATTCAGCCCACTCAGCACACAGCTTGATACTCAGCTCTCCCAGAGAATGCAAAAGATCCAAGGAGGTACTGAAAAAAGGAAAAATGGAACCCAGTCTGACACTACTGCCCACAAAATGTGTTGAAGATAACCAGATGAGAGAGACTGCCACGGCTCAACAGCCAAGGAGGTGGCCTGCATTCTGAAGTCAAATGGATTGCAGTGACTTGATGTACCTCAACATGAGGGTCTCTGCATTTGGGGACTCCACACGGACACAAAGCCACAATGGATCTACTCAGCAATGCAGTTACCGGGACAAGCTACTGCACTGCACGTGCCTCTCAGTGAGAGACTATAAAAAAATGCCAAAAAACTGAAAAAAATTCCAGTGAGAGATTTATCAAGACATGCTAAAGGGTGAGACTGCAAATCACTTCCTCCACGCATTTAAAAAAGGATCTGTAGGCCAGGGATTTCTGATAAGACCATTCATTTATGGCTTATTCATGCCCTTAGTGGGAGCTCTATCACCATGACTGCATAAATTACCTGGAGATAAAGGTATTTCTCTTGATAAAATAAAAACACTGCAAAGATCTCAAAGCATTTTGTGTAACACACAAAATGTTGCCTTCAACCCAAGCAGTCTACCTCGTATAAACAGGAAGGACTGTGCATGCACAACTGAGGCCATTAACACTGCATTATGACTGATACAATATGCCAAGTGCAATGTAATATTTAGCACATTTTCATTACTAGAACTCTAGTACATCAGACAGGTCTATTTTCTAATTGTGGTGATAAAAGAACCAGAGAGTTCATGGGCAGACATGCAGCTGCATCCCTTGGCTTGCTTTTTCTCTTTCTTTATTCCAAGCGAGGCAAATGTTGCTTGTAGTTTTCCAAACACATCTATAAAGCTGGTCTTCAGAAGAGGTGACACAGCTCGATTCCCTTAATAAATGGAAATATGATAGGAATTCATTCCATCCATGCAGAAGAGAATTTATTAGCTAAGGTACCAGCACTGAGAATCATCCCAGGAACCAAAGCTCAAGTGGGGAACAACATAGGGGAAAATGAATTCAGTGTAACAGGCACAGTATCAGAACACGGCCTCTGGAAACCAGAACCAAACTCCAGGCTCTTCTGCAGACTTTGAGAGTGATACTGGGCCAACCACTTGCTTCATTTTAATTGTAACCATGGATGACTACCAACAGAATGGAATAAAAGTAATTTTTTGTATATATTTAGCTATTTGTAAATGAGGAAAATGCAATCAATTAATATAGTGCAAACAGACATCCTATGGCAGCTCTATGGACAAAACCACCCTATTAAAGGATTCTGACCATGACGTCAAAATAAACTAAATATTTGCTTTATTAAGTATTTGTTAAATATGTCTTTGTTTTAATGAAAGTATTGAAAACATGTTGGGCCTCAGGACTCTAACTATGGCCAGTAAAATAAATTAATTGCTAAGAGCTTAACTTTAGAAATTTTCACAATACTAATAAGAATTTCTGACCACTGAAGAAATATGAATGTCAAATAAATTATTCATTTCTCTGGAAAACAAGATAAGGTGTTCTTGAAAAGCTAACTAAATTTCAAAAGAACTCAAGGATCTTAACAACTTCAAACAAGTTAAAAAATCAAACATACATGAATGTCAATGTTACTTCAGATTATCATTTAAGACATTAAGACTCTGGAATAGATGTCTAACAGCTGTAACTACTGAAGACACTTTTCCAACCAGCTTTCTTCTCTGTGTGTGGCTTTACAGAAATTCTGGATCCCTTCCCTAGGGTCCCTATCAGCCGAATATTTTCTTTCATGTAAGTCAGGGCAGGAGTTACAGAATATTGTGAGTTGGAAGGGACCCACAAGGATCATCAAATCCATACGCAAAATACTTTTTGCTTGTGTTTAAAAATAACGTATATTACCTTAAATCATCTCAAAACAAGAAAAACAGAAAAAAACCTAATGAGTTGTGCTCAAGAAGGACAAGTGGTGCCTAGAACAGGCAGAGCAGGCAGAATCACTGCTCTCCAATGCATGTGGTGCCCAGCACAGCTGTATTTTGAGTCAGCTGCCATTTTACCACCAGACTAGAGGGAAATGATAGAGATTAGAGCTCCATCACCCTCATTTCCCTGCTGGGATCCAAACAAAAACATGAACCAGCTGCTAAGGGAGCTTCACCAAAGTCCTTAAAGACCAGTAGTTTCCCCACACCCATGCAGAGAGCCAGAAGGAAAGAAAACATGCTTCAATATCCCCTGCAGAAAACCAGCTTTAATGCCTAGACACCGGTTTTATTCTTGCTGAAGGTGAACAGCACCATCTCTCATTTGCTTTGTTTGCTCTTCTTCATTTAGTAAGTAGTGCTGATTACTTTAGAAGGAACTTTGAAAATAAGCATTTTTCTCAGATTTTCCCTGTTATACTTGACCTTTTTATAGAGCATAAAAGAAACTGTAGTTACTCGGTTTAGAAACTGTGGATATTTTTAGTATCTGCAGTTGGAAAATATCAAATATTAAATATTTTTTGACGGTCATTTGATCTGTGCCTTCTCTATATAATTTCTTCACCAAAGATTTGCATCTAGCATTGAAATGCAATCTGTAATATGAGATCACACGTACAAGTTAATACGAACAGCAAATATACACAGTCACTTAAAACTATCAGAGGAGCTATTCCAGGATGTGGTTCTTAAATAATTTCACCTATTTTAGCCAAAATTACAAGCTTATAACTGAAAAAATGTACCATGTTTATTTATGCTGTGAAGAAGACAGCCTCCTGCTGTGCTTCTTAGCTCCGAGTTTGGATGTTGATTCAATATTCATTCACAAAAGACAGTGCTTCTAACTCAGGTCACCAAAAGCATTTGCTGCAGCATTTGGTTTTTCCAGTGAATTAATATCAAACAACCCAGTCACTGAGCCCCACAAAATATACAGTAAATCATTATGAAAGCTGTCAAGGAACTAGCAAGTGTATTAGAACATTTTTCTATTCACGTCTTTCTCTCCAAAGGCTGAAAATATTATTTCAGTTTCAAGATTATGGAAAAAATGAGGCCTCCAAATAACAAGTCAAGCAGCAAAAATGCAGACATCTATTAGCATAAACTCAAAATCAAAGGGAATTTGGGTCTGAGCACACACATTCTTCAGAGGTTTTGAGGAAAGGTTAACAGTTTCTCCAGTTGGATTAAATGGGATATACATGAACATACTGCTTCTTCCCACTCTGGTTCAACAAATCAATGAAGAGGTAAAAGATGATTTAAATATACCACTGTCAAAAGATCAATAGGTTAAAAATAGTCTTCCTTTCTTTTCACTTTCTATTTTAGCTCACACAGTGAAACAATCATAACCTCAGTTATCCCTAAAGAACACAAACTTCCCCTACTTCCTTAACATTAAGCACATTCAGTCTCAAACACTTCTGCCATATTTCCATTCATTCTCAGGCATATTCAGTTTCAATGCACATAAAACTCTGCTATTGCCAGTTTCCATTCCAACTTTGATCTAAAATACAAAACTGATCTGTTGATATGCACTAGTGCAGAAGAAAATGCATGTTTTCCCCTCCATTTTGATGTTAAGAATCATTCACATCCTTTGATCTTTTCTCTATTAATCATTTACTTTTGCAAAACAAAGACTGTGACTGTACCTTTCTGATGAGGCTACAAGACAGTGGTGATATTAGAAACACAGCAGGGAAAAGCACTTTTCCATTAGATTGTTATAATCTAGTAAATCCAGGTAAATCATATTTTGAAAAATGCAGTATATAAACCCCATTGTGTAGCTCTAAACTGTGACATGAGTGCTTTGAAATCAAACTGTAAATGTAAAGAATGTCGAAAAATAATGGTGTGAAATGACAGATAATTAATATTTTGTTTTAAGTGCAACAATCCATTCTTTATTTTTAATATATGAATAATCTCTTTTAGCAAAGTATTCAAGTAGCACCTTTTGTGGATCTTAAGCATATGCAGTTTCTTTTCTGTGCCAGGGATGACATTGTCATTCAGTCTACTCAGACAAAGAACAAACCCTAAAATGCTGATGCACCATAATAAGATGAATATATTTTAAATAACCCATCTATATATTTGCAATATCAGGTTGTTTATGGAACATAAAATGAACAGAAATTAAATGAAGATGAAACCCAGGAAACTTGTCTTTTCCACCCTGGCATATGTTCACTCCTAGAAACTTATAAACGAATAAGAGACAGTCTTTACCACACAAATATTTAAAAATTCATATAAATTATGATGTGTACATTTCAAGCCACTAATGCAAACTGAATTACAGACTCTAAAAAGGTTTAGGAAGTTCTTACTAAAATTTCAGCATCTTCAGCCTGCTCTTGAATAGCCTGTAAAGCCGTGGACAGATCCTCATCCTCCTCCTGAAGACTAAATTCATCATCTGCAGAAACCTAAATGAAATTATGTAAAGTTTGGTACTAATACATCTTTCTTTCACAGTACCACTGTTCCCACTCCCAGTACAACCGCTGAAAATAATCCCCTTCTTGTTAAAATACCACTTTGCCACATTTAAATAGAATATATATTACTGAAATATTCATTATAAATTATCCGAAGCATCTAAATAGAAATACCTGTATCTTAAAAAAAATATTTCATGTTCAAATAAAAGTTTCACATAACAAATCAACCAACCCTAAATCTTCCCTTGAAAAATGAGTGCATGCCTACCATCACCACACTTTATGAAAGGAGACTCGTGTCATTTCTCTGAGGATGTTTACATGACTGATGAAGTAAAACAAAACAATGATACACGAATACCAAACATATCAGGACATTATCAATTTATAAGTTACCTCTTCACACTGATAATCATCTTTAGAGTCATCTGTTATGGTAACATCTGCAGGTTTTGTTAAGTCTGAAACAGCTGATGCATGTGATGAGGTCCACCTTAGAAAAAACCATCATAACCAACCATCTCTAAAGCTGTTCTCACCACCCTCACCCTTGTTCTTTTTGACACAAGACTTTCAACTTTCAGGGCTTCTTTCAGCCTTGAGGTGAACAAGCCCAGCTCCAGTGAAAGCTGTGTGCAAAGAGACAGAATTTAGGCTTAAGTTCCTATAGCAGGTTTGAAAGTCATTAAAATTTGACCCATCAGATCTCCCAAAGTCCAAAGCCAAGCACTGTTCCAAATTAAAACAGCAGTTAAATTATGCTCTCACCCAATCATCAGCTTTGAGAGGGGTCTTGCTGCACTGGGACTGCCACAGGCTTTATGTTTCCCAGCACAACTAACTTGATGCTCTCAGAGAACAGCCTTTTTAGCAAATTCAGATATACAAGTTCAAACACGAACACTTCAGACCAAACGCTAAAGAACCATTTACCAGAGGTGATACAAACGCCTCAATAACCACAACACATCTACAAGCACCTTTCAAAATGTAAAAATTCGTTTGGAAATTATCTACAGCTCCTTCAAATGCTTTAGAGTTAAACTTTTCATAAAAAATAACTAAGAATAGTCTAAAATGAAACCCAAATAAAAATCTTTTCATCCACTAGCCTCACAGGCCATGAAAGTACAATAAAATTTTTTGCAAGATGCTGTTTGTTGACAGTTTCCCTAGGAAATCAGTTAGCCTACAAGTGACCCATGTAAATAAATCAGGAATTAACTTCCAAAGAAAAGAAAAGCTGGCAATTCAGTACTTCACATACAGACAAAAAAAAAAAAAAAAAAAGGAAAAAAAAAAAGAAAAAAAATACATGATTTTCCAGCTTTGCACCAAATTCCTTAAATCTGCATTTTTCTCCTAAAAAGGATGGTCTTTTGCCATAGCTCTCACACTCTGCAGTTCTCCCACTACAATATATATGTAAAGATACAAAATATATGTCAAATTATCCTCTGCATTGAAGACCCCATGATCACAGCATCAGGAAACTATCAGTTCAATTGTATCCATCTCGAAGGTGAACAGCTGAAGGTCATGATCCCTTGATAGGTAAAAAACTCTCAAATTCTGAGGGTTTTTTCCTGAATTTTCTAGTGACTGGACTGTCCTTGCAATCCACTATAGTCTAAACTAATATGTCATTGCAAACACTGTGCACAGACTAAAATATTACTTTAAAAATCCTGGGGATTTTTACCTTTTTTTTTCAAATATTATAGTTAGGTGCACTATAAAACAGAGCAATTACTTTTAAAAACTACTGTATTTCCCAACAAAGAATATCAAATCTTACTTTTAAACACATGTCCCAAGGCAGTGTATTTTTAAGAACACCACAGCCGTGCTGTTTCACTAAAGTAGAAACTGAAGCACAAGCTGGAAAAGGACATTCCTCCACTTTTTTAAGTTACCTTTATATTGGCTTACAACTTAATTTTACCAAGGCAAGAAAAAAACAACGTACAGCAGGGTGTAACAGGATTCTTTAGCCTCTAAAACAAAGCTTGAAAAAGCTTCTTGATTTGCAGCTCGCAGCTAGAAAAGTGAACAGATAAAGCTCATCTGGCAAAACTAGAATTTGGGTCATCTGACCAAAAAATTGCACATTTGAAAGCCATAAACTCCCAAGATAATTTCCTACAACTCAAATGCGGTAAGAATCAGGGGGTTTTTTGCTCTAAGAGCTACAGCAAACAAAGTTCTGTCTAGGTTACTGTATCACAGCCCTTATATATTGGTTATACTCAATACAAACTACATGAATATTCAGGCACTTATTTTGTGGTAGGCACTTGGAAATTAAAGAGCATCTTTTCCAGGAGCACATTGGGACACTCTTAATAACAAATCTTTCGCTCCTCCATAGGTATTTCACGTTCACTGATCAACAGCTAACACTAAAGAGGGGGCAAGAGCCTTTCACGTCAGGAATTTAACCCTTGCTCTGGCTGCCCCCCGAGCAGCGGAGGATGCAATTCCCTGCTTTCCCAAAGGGCCCTCGGGGACCCTGAGCTTCAGCCAGGAAAGCAAACACCGGGTTACAGTGAGCAGGACCCCACTGCCTCTGCAGGGTCAAAACCCCAAACCCCACATATTCATTGAACCGTTAAGGTTGGAAAAGTCCCCCAAGACCATCCAGTCCAGCTGTTGACCTACCACCACACCCATATTCATCACCTAAACCATGTCCTCATGTGCCACTTCCACACGGGTTTTTTAACACCTCCAGGGATGGCAGCCTGTGCCAGGGCTCGACAACCACTGCAATGACGACATTTTTCCTAATATCCGAACTAAACCCCCCCGGCACAACTTCAGGCCGTCCCCTCTCCTGTCCCTTGTTCCCTGGGCCAGAGCCCGACCCTCCCCCGGCTCCTCCCTCCGTCGGGGAGTCGGAGAGAGCGAGAGGGTCCTCCCTCAGCCCCCCAAGCTCCCTCAGCCGCTCCCGGTGCTCCAACCCCTTCCCCAGCTCCACTGCCTTTCTCTGGACACATACGGCCCATTTTCAGTTTCCAGGGACAACAACCCACAAGAAGAACCAAAACGCGGTGGGATTTTTGGGTTCCCCCCGACCCTTACTCTTACACTCCCCTCACCCCACCCGACACCCCCCCCCAGCAGCCGCCGGGGCCGCCCCGCCTGAGGCGGGTGGAGCGCTGAGGAGACGGACCCCGTGAGGAGGGGAACCGGCACCCGCAGCCGAGGAGAAGGAGGGTGAGGAGGAAGGGGGAGAGACTGGGGAAGAAGAAGGATACTCTGCAGGCAGAACGCCGCCTCAGAGCCGGCCGCCTCCGCCATGGCCGCGGCGTTGCCGGGGGCGACCTCTCGCGAGGAGAGGCGCTCGCGCCGCGGCGGGAACAGACCCCCCCCGGTTTAATTTAATTTCGTTCAATTCAATTAAGTTTAAGTTAAATCAGCTGTTTTGACTCGGGGCGAGGCTTCCTCGCGAGTTTGGGAGCGGCGCCGCGAGGGGCGCGGTGCGAGGAGTCTCTGCAGGTCTCCAGGGCGTTCCCTCGGGGCCGGCACCTGTGACCCCTCTGGTAAACACTCACTGCCCTTCCTGAAAGGAAGGAAAACGACAGGGGATGTGGGGGGAAACCGCTTCAAACCCCTGAGAAGGGACTAAATTCTTCTTTAGAGAGAGCGTCTATGTAGCTGGAACAGGTGTTTCACCTGAGCTCAGTCCCGTAGGACTGACTGCTTAAATTCTTTCAAACTATTCTATATTCGAGTTTAAGAGCAAGAGTTTTCCCAGGCAAAAGCTGGGGAAAGCGGCTTATATTTGTGGAGAACACACGTTATGGCTCTCTGGAGTTTGAAATAAAGGTGCAGGATTCGACAAAATAATTCTGTTCATTTTTCTTATTTTAAAATAAGCTTAGAGGTCCCAATCCTAAATTTTCAACGAGTTGAGCTAAGGGGCTTTACATGCAATAGGAACTCAGAATCAGTGCTTGAATTCACGTAATGTAACAGAAAACAAGTGCTGGGAGGGAAGTAATCAAAAAAATACTAATAGCTGGGCTGACAGGAGAGGCACCAATTTTGCTTGCAAGTTTGAAAAAAAAAATATCTAAAAATTGGAATATGAACTGAAGATCAGAGAAAATGGAAGTGGGTGAAACTGAGTTGTATAATTCAGCTCAGTTATTACCCGAAAGACAAGATGCAATCGTGCAAGAGGGCCTGCTGCCTGTGGAACTATTATTGAAGCACTTTCCAGAGATGGTCACACAGGATTGCCATTCCTCTCCCAGGGTAGACATATTCTTGAGAAATAACGAGTACTTTGGCACTGTCAAACTCTCCAAATTGTAATAAAAGAACAGTGTTTGGGCACAAGATTGTCACAACAGTACAAAGGTGAGCAGAATTTTGTATTCCCTGATAAATTCTCTCAAACACTACGTTGAGTTTGATACGTCAGGGCTTAAACTCATCTGGTTTCAAGACGTAGAAGGCAAATGCTGGCATACCTTTCTTGGTCTTGATGGTTGGTGGGTTTTCTTTTTTAATACTCTTCAGAATAAAGTGATGTGACTAGAGCAACACTCTTCCATCATATCCAACCCAACAGAATAGTCCTGCAGTCCAGCAGAGCATGTAAAAAAAAAAATAAGCAGAAGTAGCATCATAAAGTACAACATCAATGACTCAGTACTTCCAAACTGCAGATTTGAAAGCTGATAATGCAGTTGGGATGGCTACAAATGAAGTTGTTTTCTCTTAGGGAAGTTCCCAATTCCACCACAAATCACAAAGTATAACTTTAATTGTATCATACAGGCAAGCACAGCTGATTAATCTAAGTTAATACTGCTCACTTCTCTCAGCAACAGGTTTGTTCAATTCTTTGTGTAAAGGCTGACAGCAAAAAAAAAAATGCCAAGCAGTATCCTTCTCTCCCTTCTCTGAGTTCTCTGTCTCTGCTGGCCTAAGTTCTCCCTACAAATTTTCGCATGACTTCTCTATCCCACTAAAATATGGAAATGTATGGTATCCACAATTGAAGAACTCTGATGAAAGCTTAAAGAGGGCTCAGAGAGGTGCTTGAGGGAAGATTAAGATTAGAAAATAATTAATAATGAAAGACAAAAGGATCTTGGTCTTCTTGGTTTATTGAAAGAATAGTTAAAAGAGCTTGATTAAAGTGCACGGGTAATAGGTTTGGTAAGAAATGCTACGCAGAGGTAGAACCAAGAGAGTAGTTTTACATTAGATATTAGGAAGAGATTCTTTACTATGGGGGTGGGGAGGCCCTGGCACAAGTTGCCCAGAGAAGCTGTGGCTGCCCCATTCCTGGCAGTGCTCAAGGCAAGGTTGGACAAGGTTTGGAGTAACGTGGGATAGTGGAAGGTGCCCCTATCCACGACAGGGGGCTGAAAAGAAATGATGTTTAATCTCCCTTCAAACCCAAACCTTTCTGTGATTCTATGATATCTAGCTATGTTGAAAATTAACTCAAAATAAACTACAACTAAAAGCAAAGAGCAGTTTTTTTAACAAATAACTATTTTACTGATTTTCAAGTATAATTCCAGGAGGATTTTAGCAGCCACAGAGTTCTTTATAACAGCTATGTTCCACATTCAGACACCAGCTATTTCAGGACAATCCTATGGCTCCCATTTGCAAAACAGTCAGACATGATCAGTGCAGTGGTACTTCATGAAAAAAGACTGAAGTTAGATTACCAATTCTGCTATATGTGGAGGTTTGCCAGTATCCTAAAGGATCCATAGAGTTTATTTGTTTACTTTTAAATAGGAGTCATTGGTCACAGAGTGTTATTTCCTGAAGATTTAAAGCTTTGTTTCGAAACAGTGTTTGGTTGGCAACTTCTAAACTATTTATGTCATCCCATTGTGACTATATAAATGACCTCATCGTACAGTCATTTTCCTTCAAGAGGCATAACAAGCCAACTAGTTTCTCTCTACCTTGTTCAGGGCCGCCTGCCATAAATACATTGTATTTGGTTATTGCTAAGCTGAATTCCAAGCGCCCCATTCACCCTGCTTTATAGCCTCGTAACAGTCTGGGTTATAAATGATTATCATCTCCCAAATGGCAGCAACTAGTGCTGTTACTGTATCCCATAACTTCTCGTGAGAAAGACACTGAAGCAGCATCTGCTGTAGCTTGAGCATTTCATTAGACAGGCTGTTTACTTTTCTTACAGAGAAAAGGCTGAGCCAGGTACTTCAGCCAGATCTATCAGCCAGATAGATCAGCCAGACGAGTCAGACTATTTGAGAAAGATCATTCATGAAAACTGGATAAACTAGAAAGCTCCAGAAGTGTTGCCTGTGCTCCCAAGCCCTAAGGGCCAGGTACTCTTTCCTTTATACCACCAACTAAAAGGCTGAGAGGCTATCCTTGAATTCAGAGCAAAATATCTTCTCCTGCTGAATTCAACAAACTGACTACAACTCTAACAAGCTGAGTTAAAAACCCAGGGCACCCATGTGAGCTACTTTCAGTGACTTTCTCTCCTCTGCAGGAACACATCCAAAAAGTCCAGTATATGCACTTCATCAAAACAGACAAGCAGCCAACAAAGAATTATCTGCCCCACTGACTCTCACACACCCATTTCTAATTGTTCTTCAGCACAGCTTTTGGGGAGAAAGGACGAGGCAATGTCACCCATTCAGCTTTCTGAACGAGCACAAAGCATGGCCAGGAGCACCATAACAGCACTATTACGATTACAGTCAAGAGACCATTGTCCACACGGGCATGGTGGAGCACGGGACCACAGCTGGAAGCCAGAGTGAGTTGGCAAACATCTCGTTCCAACTTCTGCTGTGCCATCTGGCTTCCAGTGAGGTGACTGACGTTAAATGTATTTTCTCTGTATTACCATCTGGCAGCTGCTTGTACAACAACGGAGTAACATGCAGGATTTGGCTAACAGTTATCCTAAGAATCACATCAAGGATACTTGTAACAGACTTGGAAATGAAAATTGCTTACAATTGCTTAAATTTCGTTAACTGGTGGCATTACACACACAGAGTATTGCAGGTGGGGAACAGGGAGGGGGAAGTTAAGTATGCTTATGTTTTGCATGTGCTTATTTTACAAAGTTCCCATAAAAGTTTCTAAGGGAAAGGAGGGGACACCCATGCAGGTTTCCAAAGGACACAAACATTGTAGCCAACAAAATGTCTGTTGAGAAGCATCAGCATTTTTGCTATGCTGTGGAAATACAGTTACTTTTCCAAAGTTAAAGAGATGCAGTACTTTTTTTTTTACTTTTTTGTTTTGTTTGTTTTATTTCTAGCTGTAATGTTGTATGCCAAAAGTACTTCTGATGAAAGAAGGAAATTTAAGGAATTTGTTAGTACAAACACAGTCTCAAAGAGGTGGTACTTAAACATAAAGTTCATCTAAAAACATCAGGATTGCCAAATGCAGTTTAACTCCAGTATGAAGCATTATAATAATACCTGCAATGCCAGGCTTTCATCTTTATAAAGGTCACATTTGCAAAGCTTAGGGGCCATAGTAGCCTTGCTGAGCTTTAAATGTAACAGAATGGGGTTCTTCAAAAAAGGGAGTAGGATTTTCAATAAATGTGATCTCATGACAGCTTAAATCAATCAATTTTCTACTCTACCTCCTTCTGTGCACTCCTGCCTTTTTCCTTGCTCCTGTGCTGGTGCTCGTATGATTCTCAGATAATTTAAACTGAAAAAAAAAGATAATCTGGATGAAATAAAAAAAAAAAAAAAGAGGGGGTTTAGTTTTGTTGCCTGTTTTGTGGTTTTTTTCAAATGTAGGAAAAGTAACACTAAAATGCCAGAGGTTTGGCAGAGTTAAGCTGAAGTTATTAAATGTCTTTTGTCTCTACTCTCTAAGAAGAACATTCAATAAATAAACCTCTGCTACATTTCCAGGTATTTCTATAGATTAGATGTAGGATATATTAGGTGTCATAAAAAAGGGTTTGAGTTGAGATTAGATGGAAGCAAAAATGTCTGTTTCCCAACGCATCAGCACTTCTGCTGATGGTCATTCTCCTGTGCATTTTATTGAAGCATAACAAGCATCAGCTGGAATACTAGCTACACTATTTAATTGTCTAATGCAATAGATTGTTTTCTTTGATGAATTTCTAAAATTCACTCTGGTTTCAATTTCTCACAGCTTTTTCACAAGAAAGAAGGAAAGAGACGGCGATGTGCTCAAAACCCAACAACATGAACGCAAACAGAAGTATGAGGAGTTTTGACTGTTCTTAAAGAGAAAATTGGGAGTGAATGGTCCAGCATTTTGTGAATAATGCAGCGAGACATCAGTACAAGGGGATCACACAGCACAGGGCACAGCTCTGGAGCACGGGTTTCCAGCTGCAGACACTGCAACAGTGATGTATATAGTCCAGTCTGTACACTGCAATGTATAATGCAAGAGTTATTTTATCCACACTGACCTTGCTCTTTCCAGGAACTACAGCCTCCACATCTTTGGCTGTTGTTGCCCTTGAAAATTACCAGGAGCACTGGACAGATAGTACATATTGGCTCTCCTTGTACTAAATTTGAGGGCATTTCTGCGTCACCAATAGAATAAATTGTGCTAAAAGAGGTGTCATACAGTAACTCTTTGTTTTGCAAGTGTAAAGTAACCAGTGTTCTCTATATAAACTCCAGTTTTACGAACACAAAGTTATTTATGCAGCTTACAGGGACTAATGATCATCTGTTCCTGGTAATTAGAGACTTTTCAGTTAATATGTTCTTCTCCCCTTTGAAATTAAGTTTAGTGAATACGCTTTTCAAATTTATGCAACTTGGACCTCAAAGCAGCTTATACACTCCTACTACAAGCTAAAAAAAAAACCAAACCCTAACTTTATGTGACAATTGTAAAAAGAAAAGGCATCCTTAACACAAAAGACTTGAGGAAAAGTGCTGTATTGCCCTAATCTGTGCTTAGTGATAGAGGCAAGAATCGAGATGCCGCTATGTCCGAAAATGCATGAGCTAAAGGACAAGCAACACAAAAGCAAGCATAAATTATTCCTTTTGCTTGTTTTACCATGGTTCCAAGTACTTCGCTACTTGTTACCCAGGTGATGCATCTTCCCACTGGAAGTCTGAGTCTCATGCTAATGATTAGCACATGCCTGAGTAATTTTAGCTGGTTTCCTGCTTGATTTTTTCAGAGCGTGTATGTATGTGCACACATTAAGACCACACATAACAAAATTTTCTCTGTCAAAATCAGATTAAAAATTTACTTACAGGAATACGTGTAGTAAACCCATAAATTATTCAAAATAACTGCGTGCTTCAACAAAATCAAGTTTTCTCCTTACACCCAGTCCTCTTTATCTGTATTTTAGTAAGATGCAGCACAGTTTGCTTCACTTTTTTTCCCCTGTTGTTGCCCCAGAACATGCTTGCTCTTTGCTGCTTTCCTTACTTGGACTCATTCCTTCCTTTTTGCTTTAGTCTTCCCTATTCTGACCAACCATTTTGTGTTTTAGCAAGTTTGACAACCCTTGGCTATTTATTCAACACATACTTTCAGAGATAAGCCTAGAATAAACCGTGTATTCTTGTTCTAAGAAAACCAGGAAATTATACCAAAAATAAAAATTCTGAGAGGTCACAGAATTTGATGCAAAGGGGGCAAAGACTATCAGGGGATTTGTAGCCAAAAGCAACATTTGCTACCAGAGTTTTTAGCCTGCTTAAAGGTGGTTGCATTGATAGAGACCAAGCATGGAATTTTAACTTCCTCTATTATTTTGTTTGTTGTTAGTGCAGTGTCATTTTTCCATACATGGAGAATGCAAAAATATGAATAATTTGAATTCAAATCATCCATCTCTAATCTTTCTTAACTCAGCTAAGGGTGGCAGTATACACTAGTTTCTGTAGATTAATATAGAATGGGAACTGCACAATGTCTATCTCTTTATTTTGCTGTTATTATTAACAAAAATATAGAACTTCAGGCACCAATTCTGTAAAAATCCAACATCTTTGATGAAAGATTACTAAAAAAAAAAAACCAAGTCTTTATATCCAATACTGATTGCCATTTGTGATGTGAATGAAGCATTTCCTGGCTTTCATTTTCACATACTTCTGATGAAAGCAATAGTACAATATTGACACCCTATACCTAAATGTCAAAGCTGTGCTTTGTGGTTTTTGTAATATTTTGTTTAAATATCGAAGTGCCACAAAATTGAAATCTGGAAATGCTATGTTTAAGTTCTTTCCTTTTACCTTCATATTGTTTAGAGCACAGCCGTAACTTTTGCTATCAAGCCATTTGCTCATTTTGGTATAGAATAAAGTGAGGAAATATTGGTAATTCAGCTTCACAAACTAGACTTAGGTCTTGGGCACCCTGTGTTGACTTGAAGATGCTCAAAGTGGTTTAAAATGAACCAGCTCGCACACTGGAAACTCAACTTACTGTGCATTCTTGCTTGAATTCATGCCACATTATACTTCAGATATCTTCCCAGTAATTTAGAGCCAAATCCCTAAGACGAAAGGAGAATCTAGAGAGGCCTACAGGGACCCAGGAACCTGAACCCAAAAGGCTTTTGTTGACTCTGAATCCTTAAAATTGGCTCTACCAGCTTTGTTCCCTTTCTGTAAAAGGCAACTGCACTGCCTGTGTCGACAAGACACTTGCTGCATCTGGGCCTCTACCCATCTCCAGTCCACTCCCTGAGGCCAGGGATGAGATAGCCAAGCCCTCAAGCAGGATGCCATGCCAGATACAACTCTTTCCAGTGCTGTTGTGACCAGAGAAGGCAGTTTCTGGCTCTGTATGTTGATTACTGTACCACCCTACTAAGGCTGCGAGCTGTCCAGAACGGGCATTTACAAGGCAATCTGATGGCTGCTGAATTCTCTCCACTGGGAAAGAACAGAGAAATGCAGCCTTACTCTTAATGGCAGTTTATCCCACTGGATGTTAAGATGATATAGCTATTTAAGGAATACATAATTTATCTCTTTAAATTAACCAGACTTTTAAACAAATACTTTGCCTACCTCTCCCTTGCCTTGCCTACCCTGCTCTTGCAAACCCTTGCAAGCGCAGTGTAAGGTTGACCACTCTTGAGATGGTTCTGTTGAAAAGTGATGGTTCAAAAGTGACCAGCTCAGCAGGGTGCACTTCCACATCTAGTTAGTTTTGAACATGTGACAAGTGACTAAAGTTGTAATTCCCACTCTTGCAGAAGGCAAGATTGCTTGCTTCAAAAAAATACAACCTTGTGGACAAAAGCATCTTTACACACAAACTTTGGTTCTGAGGCAGAATTGTTTCAGGAGTACAGATGTGTCCAGACCCAAACTCCTCCTCCCTCTCTCCATCTCCCTCTGTTCAGAAAGGAGCACTGCACAAACGGCACAGTGCAAAGTGCCTCTCTGTCTTCAGCTGTCCTGGGAGACTTCACATGATGTCAGACCCCTGGTGAACCATCAGCTGGAGCACTTCTGAGCCTGGACAGTCTTTCTTTTACACTCCAATTGGCAAGGCAGAGCATCTTGCCAAGCCTTCACCCTCCTTAGCCCATGCCAGGTGATTTCACAGTGAGCCAGCAATTACTCAGATTGGCGTGTGGTCAGGTCACGTGTCAAATAAATTTATCTCATTTACAAGCAGAAGGTTCTTCAATGAATAATTCAGGAAGAAATAATCACCTTCGTGGTCCATTTTCCCAACCCCAGGCTCCGTCTCTAACAAGCACCTGCTGAACCCAGCGAGACATTTTGACTACAGAATTAACAATTTGAAAATCAGTGTGTACACTGTGCATGCAGACATCCCCCCAGGATTTTACTGACTGCTAAAGGCAAACAGCAACCTGTTGGCCCAACCCTCAGTGAAATCACATGAGGTTTTCCTGTCAGCTTAAGATGGAGCTGGACTGAATCTAATCAACTGAACCCATAGAGTTCATCATGCACAGGCTCTCATCATCACAAGTAAAATGACTGGGTTTTTCGAAGCTGCTCGTTATTTTCTTGTCACCAGCCTCAGGGAACACTGGTTTGCATAAAGCTTATAAAAATAGCAATAGCTACACTATGATATGGCCCAGCAGATCTAAAGCTGAGGAAGGTAAAGTTTTTGTCAGCAATGTTTTCTTCATCCCTCCTTTTTTAAATGAGATTTGCCATACTTCATAAACCCATGGCTAAGTCTGTTTTCTCCACATTGGTGCATGAATCTCAATTATAAAACTATTAAGATTGTGAAGAGAACCTATTTCTTCATTTGTATAATACCCCATTTGTATACCTCATGGGTTACCTTACTTTGTTCAAATGAAACACCTGAAATTTTGGTAATTAGGTTACACAGGATAAAGATAATTTGTGCCAAATAGCAATTCTGAAGAAAGTGTTACAATGTAACCTCCCCCCCAGTGTGTTTTTTCATGCTGAGAATGGCCAGTGAGTACAGTGTCATTGTAACATCCAGCCCAAATCCTCCTATATCTGAAGGAGGTCAGGTAAGACCAAACACCAGTCCATTTTTTCCTAGCTACATCAGCCAGTCCAACAATATTATAATTCCTCCCAAACTGTGTCTGAAGAATAGCAATGTTCTTCAGGAGGAATGCAGGAATAAGCTCTAAACTTTCCACTCTAAATTATGTAGTAGATTAAATAGACCTATAGATTTTGGCTTTATGGCAAGAGGCACAACAGAGAATTGGTTTTCTGTATAACTCTAAGCTGTTTAACTGGCCATTTTCAGACTCGATGTCTCACTTGTTTCAATTTCCAGAGTTCACCATGAGACTCCCTGTATGAAATTGGGCTCACAGCACAATGGTGCCTGAACTGAACAAGACTTTCAGACATTTCAAACTACAACCCTGCCACTGCCTCTCATTCAGCTGTGAAAGGAAGGTGAGTGCCCTCTAGTCAACTTGAGCTATTCCCCAATAACCTCAAGAGTGCAGTCCGTACATGAAAAGTATTGTGAGCATTAAACACTGCCTGTTTCATCGTTACACAGAACACAATGCTTTTGATTAACACTCCCATTAGCGTAAATTAATATTAACAAGTAGCGATTATTCTCAGCATTGAGAAAACATTGATGAAACCAGTCCTCCTATCTGGGTATGACAACAGTACCGATACACACAGACCAAAAGCTTCATTCTGAAAATTCAGTGGGAACTGGCACTAAAAGCTGGAAACCAGCTCTGGGTTCGGGTTTCGCAGATTGACTTTACAAAGTCAGTCAAAGCCTCCACGCCTGAACGTTTATTCTTGCATGTGTATGTAGATCTAGATCTCAGTTTGGCAGTTTTAGTCCACTCTGGAATTACCAAGCATGATGACATTTCATTGCCGATATAATTTCATAGAGCCACTGGTTGTTAGGATACAGCTTTGTTCACCACAGTTAACCACACTGTCTCCATTCATCATGCACCCACCAGACCATAAATCTGCTAATTAAAGAGAGACACATCTTCGACTACAGTATCTGTACAACAGCCTTCCTCCCAGGCACAGATTCAGTGATATTTCCTTCACTGTACTGTGTCAGCTTGATGTTTCCTCTGGTCACAGCTAATTAGGACTGAGTGAGCTATGC